AATGATGAGGCTTTCTACTGCAGAGAGATTTTTTTAAAGCCTCAGAAACCCCACATAGGGTTGCTGTGAGTCAGAACCGACTCGATGGCACTTAAAAACAACACATGTGTCTACTGCATTTGTTTCTCCACTCATCTGCTGGGATACGTGTCCTCTGCTTCTGCCATTGGCTAATATGCATAGTGCTCGAGCGAGTTCTGCTGTACAAGTGCCTCTTAGGCTTTCTCTTCTTCGGGGTGTCTGCCTAGGATTGGGCTCGCTGGGTCAGGTGGCAGTTCTATAGGCAGCTCTGAAGGACCCTCTCAGTATCCGCTACCACGACTGTTCCATTTTCCAGGCCCACAGCCGAGGACGGGCTGCCCAGCATGGCCTGTCTGTTATCAAATGTGATGACTTTGGTTCGTGGTCCACAGGGCATCAGTCCGTTTTTCCTTCTGCTTCAGTGAGATTATTTGAAGGTTTATTTGCAGCCACCATGTTTGACTTGCCTCCTTCTTGTTACAGACTATACAACAAAGATGCTGTCATCGAGTTTCTGTTGGACAAGTCTTCCGGAAAGGCTCTGAAGGCAGCGTCACATATTAAGAGCATTAAGGTAAGACTTGGCGACTCAGAGTGCTCCAAGGGGGTCGGTGGTGGGGGCTTGTTTTGTTGAACTCCTCATGTGCATTGAAGGCTGAGCCCAGAATCCTGGGGTCCGAGTCCAGCCTGGACTCTTCTGCTGGTCACTTCCTTCTCAGCCACTAGTTTCTACACTGCCCTCGGCATCAGGAAGCTGCTGGGACTTAATGGGTCTGAATTGGTCTGGCATGCAGTGTACTGGGAGGCATTCTTGTTACCACGTAAAAATCGTCTGCGAGAATCTTTGCTGTGGAAGACACTTTTGCAGAGTTAAGAGTATTTTGGAGTAGTTGTTGTTATGTGCCGTTGAGTCGTGTCTCAGTCACTGCGACTCCAGGAAGCTGAGTAGAACCAACCCACTGGGTTTCCAAGACGGTCATCTTGGCAGAAGCTGGCGGCCACATTTTTTCTACTGCAGAGGTACTAGTAGATTCGAACTGCCGATCTTTCAGTTACAACAGGACACTTAACCACTGCGCCACCAGGGCTCCTTTCTAAGTGGTCGTCTCCTGCTGGATAGATGGTCTGATTGGCAGTTAAAGTTCTTTCATTGAAGCAGAAACCATTTTTAGCAACAAGTTTGTTGAGAGGGCAGCATCCTTCTTCTGGTCGTCTGGCTGATCCTCGGCCGTGGACACCCAGGTTGTACTGTCTGTCCAGCTGGCACAGTGGTAGCTGGTCCATCGAGAGGACCTGGGTGAGGGTCAGCAGGGAGAGAGCTTGCTCCTTTCTGGGCGGAGCGCACACAGAGATGTGTCTTAGTGCAGAGACATTGGATGTCTCCTAAAATTGCACAGTAGAAATTATCCAATTGACTAGCTTGTTCGTGGATTACAAATGTCTTGGTTTCTGTCAGGATTTGCTGTTTTAACTCTACGTCCATATCAATTGGTGACCAGAGCCAAGTAGCTCAGAGGCATGGGCTTGCAGGGGAGGGACTAGAAGAGCGGTGTCTCTGCTGACAAAGGTGGTGATCCACATACTGTGATGGTTTTTCACAGAATGTGACGGAACTGAAGCTCTCTGACAATCCTGCCTGGGAGGGGGACCGAGGAAACACCAAAGGCGACAAGCACGATGACCTCCAGCGGGCGCGTTTCATCTGCCCCGTCGTGGGCTTGGAGATGAATGGCCGGCACAGGTCAGTAATGGGGGAGGGACAGCGAGGGTTTGTGAGGTGGCTTGGCAGTCACACAGGTTCAGTTTGGAGACCTTCAGTCTGCATTGTGCCCTGGGGGAAATGGTGTGGGGACAACTTCTCTGCCCATTGAGCTTTTTGTGTTTGCAGCGAGAGCCCCAGAGTCCACAGCCTCTGTAGTGAGTGCCGTTACTGGAAAGGAAGCAAACAGCTTAGAACAGCTTGAAGTTACGAGGTGCCCAGCACCCTTTAACTTCAAGGGTGCTCCAGCGGATGAGGCAAAGGCCCGCTGTAATGGTGACTTGCTCTGAATGTACGTCTGACCAGTCCTGTGGTTGGAGTCCCAGAAACCTCACTGAGATTTACATTACAGATGTAAGTAACCTGTCCGTGTTCCCTTCAGACACCACAGTGTTGGCCGTGTGAGTAGATGTCTTTGTAGAGGGTACCTCCCACTCAGCAGACACTTTGAGCCCCTTCTCCCACTGTTTGAAGTCGATTTAGAAATGTCTTCAACAGTTGATGCTCCAGACTGCCCTCTGGTATCATGACTCCTAAAAGGCCTTATGTTTTACTTTTTCCATTCAGTGAAGGGGGAGGAAAATCTTAACTAAGTGAAAACTTATATCAGCTGTGAGCAGCCAGGTGCATCCTTGAGCTTTCTGGCACCTTCTGTGAGTTGGTTCTGACCCATTGCTTTCTAATTAAACTCAGCTCCGGGACCCTATGGGAATCCATGGGATTTCCCAGCCTGTCGTCTCTGCAGAAGCTACACCCCATTTGTCTCCCATAGAGTACTTAACCACTGTGCCACCAGGATTCCCTCTACATTTGTTTAGCGGGGGGCTGTGGGCAATGTCTCCGGGGCCCGGCATTGTGGCCAACTACACCAGAGAGACACTTGTGAATGGGTGACAGAATAGCTGACTGACTTTGGAGAGAAGTCAGATTTAGGGCCGTGGACATTTTGCTTTTAAAGGTTGTTCACTTCTGTAAACAATCTGAATTCTTTTTTTTTTTTAACAATCTGAATTCTTTAGGGCTCTCTCTTAAATGTTTGGAGTCCTGGTGTGGCTCTGTGTATACACGGTCGCTATGGGTCGGAACCGACTTGACAGAACTTAACCATAGCAACAAGTTAAACTTTTAGGCCTGGACTCGTCAAAGGAAGCAGTCTTGGTCCACTTGTCCATGTCCCACTTCTCTTAGAAAAGCCTGGTTCCCCCCAGAAGAGGAACTTTTAGCAGCAATACCTCTGGGGCCTTGAGTAGGGATTACCTTAGCCTGTGGTCCCCAGCTCTGACTCCCCCTGGTTCTTTCCCTTTTCATTTGCTGGTTTACCTCTTCACAGGTGATCGAGCTGGACCTCTTTGGCCTTGTGATGAACAGAGCCTTGGCACTCGAAAATTGAGTTTGGGATTAGTTTCCTAGTAAGGGTCCTACAGCCCAAACCAACCCACTGCCATGCAGCTATTCTGACAGTAGACCTGCTCACTAGGGTTCCCAAGGTGCTAAATCTTTAAGGAAGCAGACAGCTTCATACATCTTCCGCGGGTGGCTGGTGGGTTTGAACCACTACCGCTGTAGTTAGCAGCCCAGTGCTTAACCCACTATGTCACTAGGGGCTCTTAAAGATCATATAATAAAGAATTTAAATATACAGAAAAATACTCAAGATTGATAATATCATAAATACATTGGACATGTGCTTTATTGTTCTTAGATGCCATTGAATCAGGTCCAGTATGTAGTTATCCTGTGTATAACAGCATGGAGCACCGCCTGGCCCTGCCCCGTCTCCGCGGTCATCGCTAGGTTGAGCCCATTGTCGCATCCAGTGTGTCCATCTGTCATGTGGAGGGCCTTCTCCTTCACTGACCCTCTGCTGTGTCGACTCGGATGTCCTGGGACTGCTCCCTCCTGAGAGCATGTCCAAAGTGTCTGAGGCAGAATCTCGCCGGCCTCGCCTCTAAGGAGTATTGTGGCCGTACTTCTTCCAAGAGAGATTTGTTGGTCCTTCTGGCAGACTGGGGTGTACATACTGGTCAGTAACACCACCATTCACAGGCCCCAGGTCTTCCGTCTTCCTTATTCACTGTCCAGCTTTCACATGCATATGAGGGTATTGAAAATACTATGGCTTGAGTCAGGTGTACCTTAGTCCTCAAAGAGACCATAGTTTTAAAATCTACAATTGACTAGTTTATTAGAAATTTGTTATTTGTTGTTAAAGTGCTCTTGAATGGGTTCCGACTCATAGGGACCTTGTATAGGGTTCCTGAAGAGCAGCTGGTGGGTTTGAACTGCAGTCCAGTGCTTTATCCTACAGCGCTATGTCAGGACCCATGAAATAGATGCTGTTTTGTTATTAAATAACATTTAACAGGTTTGGTGCAATATTGTTAATTAGGTTTTTGTCAGGGCATTCTGCGTCTACTATTAAAAAAAAAAATCCAAACCCATTGCCAACAAGTTGCTTCCAACTCATGGCAATCCTGTGTTGTTGTTGTTGTTGTTGTTGTCGTTGTCAGTGCTTTTGAGTTGGTTCCGACCCACAGCGACCCTCTAGATAGGGTTTCCGAGGAGCAGCTGGTGAGCTTGAACCGCTGACCTTGCACTTCATACAGTTTTGCAGTCTGGCGCATTCACCCACAGCGCCACACCAGAACTCTGGGAGAAATGCCTTACAGGATTCCCAAGCCTGTAACCTTTACAGCGGCAGGCTCCCATGTCTCCCCTATGGAGCATCTATCTAGTGGGTTCGAACAGCCAACCTTTCTTTTCACAGCTGAGTGTTGACACCACTGCACAACCAGAGCTCCTGTATCATCTGTAATCCCTGGGAAATCAGGTGTTAGTGTTTTGATTTTTAACAGGCTGATGGCTGTTTTTTTTTTTTTTTATGGAATTGACTGTAATGGTTTTGAACTTTGTGGTTCTTGGCCTTTGTGTAAACTGGACACATGTTCATTGATCGTGTGCATCGTTATTTATAAGTTCTTTCTAAGTCCTTCCTGAACCTGCTCTCCATATTGGATTCTCTGCAGGTTTTGCTTCTTGCGATGCTGTGGCTGTGTTTTCTCCGAGCGCGCCCTGAAGGAGATAAAAGCAGATGTCTGCCACACCGTGAGTTCCCGAGGCTTCTATTTCATGTCTTCTCCGTAACTGAGGAGATCGGAGGGTTTGGGGGTCCTCCCTCCACTTGTCACTCAGACAGCTCCCGTCTTTTGGGAAGTACATACATCCAGTTCCCCCCATGGCTCCCCCGTCTTGCCAGCATTTCCAGGGCCTCTGTCCCCTCCACCGCCACCTGCAGGCTTCCTGCTGCCCCTGAGACTGAGCTCCAGAGTCATGCTTCCTCCCCGAGGCCTGCCTCTCCTCCCCTGTTGGCTGAACCCTACTCTGCGTCGTCACGTTTTGTCATTTTGGCCGTAGAGCCCGTCAGGTTCCCGTTCGACAGTTTGCACGCATTTTGTTGGTTCCGTGACGCTACCTGCAATCTGCTCGGGGTATCAGCACTTGACCTCTTCTTCCCTGAGTTGCCCGCGCCCGTTCCTCCTCCTCTCATGCTCGGTTCTTGCTTGGAGGCTGCCCTTTGGTCTCGTGGCTGGCTGTACTGAGGAGCCCACCCTTCCCTGGTGATGATACTGTTTGGATGAAAGATGATTCCCGGGATGAGTTCCGTTCCAGGTGTCAGGGGTGTGGGCTTCTTCCAGTCTCTGTCAGACCAGTAAGTCTGGTGCTCTCTGTGTCTGTGTGTCCTGTGTGGGGTCTGCAGTGGGATCTGAGGAGCAGGGCGGCTGACGCTTGTGCCCTGGACCAGAGATGAAGTACACAGATGCTGGGATGGAGGGAGGAGTCTCGGAGGAGGAGTCAGTGTTTGAGCTGAGATCCAGCGGGTGGTCAGGAGCTGCCCTGCAGAAGTTCAGAAGTAGCCAAGAACTGCTGCTTCATGGAATGCAAGTGAGGCTGTGGGGTAGGAGGTTAGGGAGCCTGGCAGGGCTCAGCTCACAGGCCCAGTGGTCAATGTGAGGCTCATGGGTTTTGTTCTGAGCAGTGTGTAGCCACAGCTGATTTGGTCTTTTGTTCACATGATAGACGTGAAGGACGCACAGGAGGACTCGGTTATGTGAGGTTCAAAGACAGCCAGGAGCTCTTCTCGGGCCAGGGTGGCAACCGATGGAGTCTGGCGGCTTCCTCCTGGCACAGCGCCTCGGAGGTCCAGCCTGCGGTGTGTGCTTCGGTGGTTTTCCTGGGACTGTCCACTGCGGGGGTGAGCCTCGTTGGCATATTCATTTCTCCATAGAGAGGCATTTAGGTAGTTTTCCATTTGGGACAGTTAAAGCTCATTGTAGAATTTGGAATCCATGTTGCAAAGCTTTTTTAAGAAAAGTAATTCAACAAAAATGTACTTGGCAGTTAATGTATATCATTCATTCAACAGTACTTGTGTCTCTTGTACCAAAGCCAGCATTTCAGGGGTTCCCAGGGAAAATAAATTGTTTATGGTGTGTGTCTTGCCCTCCGGGCAATTGCAATCTTGTGGGATTAGAACTTGTGTAGAACTCTGTTCGTGGTGTTATTCAAAGCCAGCTGCCAAGTGGGTGGTGAGTTGTTAGAGTTCAGGCCTGGGGACTTTCTTGGGCCTGTGATGGTGAGAACGAGCTAATGAAGGAGGAGATGTCTGTCCTAGATCTTGAGGGGCGAGTGTGGGGTGCACAGTGGTGGTGGTGGAGGGGGTTGCCCTAGGCTGGTCCCCAGACAGTCCAGTCACTGTCTCTACAAGACACTGTGGATTGCTTCCTTAGGAAACATCAAGGCAAGTGATTGGGTCCTCTCAACACAAACCCCCTTCCAAGACTAAGACTCAAAGGAAATACACGCTCTGATTGGTGACCACACGCATCACCGATGGGGGGAAGTGGGGTAAAAGCAGCAATGAAGCGGCAAGCTAAGCCCTACAATGTTCGGTGGGCTTCTGTGGACCCAGTTGGGGACCTGGTTGGCAAGCAGTGTGAGGAGACCTGGGGACTCTTGGGCCCAGAGTCAGTGGCGTGGCTACGGAGGACTCGAGTGGAGAGTGGAGCTACCGGCTGAGAGGGCATGTGCACAAGAATGCCCACACTTACAGATGGTACCCACATGACCTGGACCGGGTGACTGGATGATAGAACTCAACCAGGAGAAGAAAGAAGAGGAAAAAAAAGAGTGAGCTGATACAATCTGATGAACTTGACCTATACTTACGGATGCAGTGACTCAAAAGAAGGAACAAATCCTTACAGCAAGGAACATTCCCACCCCCTCCACACACAGAGTAGACAGAGATGGGCAACTTGGACATTGGATACCCAAATGGGGAGGAGGGACTACAAAGGCAAGAAGTGACTGGCTTACAAGCTTTCAAGAGGGAACCTAGAGCTAGGGAGCATGGAGGAAGGCAGAATCTCCAGTGAGTACTATCCAGTCTGTCTAGGTGGAGCTGATGAAATGAAATACAGATGGGTAACTCGTGATACTGTATTGAATAATGGTTATCAGGATGGAATGTGAGGGTTGGAAATGCAAAGGTAGATGTTTTATAGCAAGGAAGGGAGTGATTAATTCTCCAGTCTAAGAGCAGAGGTCTCTAGGACCATCAATGGAGAAGAGCCGAGAGCGGGACCCTACCCAGAGAAGCAGTGATGCCTGAGATAGAGGCAGAGATGATGACATGGAGTGATGAAGTCGCTGGGGACTTTGGATCCAGAGAGGGAAAGGGACTGTGTGTGCTGAAGAGTGGGGGTGGGGGGGGAATTGTAGGGGGCGGGTTTCTAGGATATACCCTTTGGTCGGTTGATGATCCATGGAGGGGATTGGAACCATGGCAATGAAATGATATACGATGGAATGAATGTAAAACTAAAGTTCTCTCATGTAAACTATCATATAATTCACAATAAAACATGAAAAAAAAGACACTGTGGAGTTCTCCTTCAGAACTTCTGCTTCTCCAGGACCAAGTCTCAGTGTGACCCTAGTCTGGTGTTAGCACCTCTCAGTTCGCTGTGGGAGCAAATTCCAACTGATAGCAACCCATAGGTCCAGTCAGAACACCCCGTTGAGTTTGCTCAGCTGTAATCTGGAAGAAAGGAAGGAAGCAGATCGCCAGGTGTTTTTCCCGGAGAGCCACTGAGGGGATTTGATCTTCCAACCTGAAAAGGTTAGCATCCGGAACACCGTCCAGCACTCATGACCTCCTTGTGCAAGTGGACCTTCAGTTCAGAACTTTGGCAGGCTTTTTGTGTTCTCTCTGCTTCTATGGTTATGTTAGATTTCTGGCAAAAGATACTGCTTTTGTACTTGTTGAGTAAATTTGAGTAGATTTGAAGAAGAATATTAAGATACTGACAAGATAAGTTGGCAGGGAAAACGCGTGAAGATTGTGAAACATTAGAAGTGATGGCGTGTTTGTTGTGGGGAAGGGGATAAGGTTAGGGGTTGAGAGAATGAGAGACATCAGATCAGGGGAGGGAAGGGGTTCCCTGCCTGTCGGGAATTGGGGTTGGGGGTACAGGAACAGGGAGAGAGGCCAGAGGTGGAGACCCCTGAATACGCACGTGCTTTGGGAGCAGCAATGTACAGGCAGAGAGAGGACGATTGCACAAGAGTGGGGGCCCGCAGGGCAGGTGCTCTGTGCTTTAACAAACCACGTATGCGATGCTGGTGGGATGTTACCATGGTCACAGGGACGCTTAAGAAAGTCCACGGGAAAGAAAGTAAGTGCCAAAGGTCCCCACTTCCAAAAGTTGCTGTACGCCACTTCGCTTTTACCAGAGATCTACGTTAGGATTTGTTTTTGCTAACTGAAAGAAATCTGAAAAAAGGTGAAAAGTGAAACTAGCTTCTAGGGTTTGTTTTTACAGCAGGACATTAAAGAGCCTGGGTGTCCCGAACCCCAGAGTGATGTCACCAAGCTCCTTCCCCGGGAGCTGCGCTCAGCAGCTCCGCATGAAGCCACCATGGCTCTGGGCTGTGTCTCTGAACACTGTATGTTAGTTAGTGTGAGTTTCATGTGTGATCTGGTATGATTCAGTAGGTTGTGTTTGGATCTGGAAGCTCTCAAACATGTTTTGGGTGTGTATTAGTGGTTACTACTATTATAGAAAGTCTCATGGACTCTCCGTGTAGCAGGAGAAACATGTATGAGAAGTGAGAAATGAAGCCAGTGTATTGCAGAGACCAGGTGACCTAGATCACCAGTTCCCAAACCAGGTCATGCTTTAGAGTCTCCATTTATTGTTTCCACCCCCCACTTCAGACCCCCCAGAATCAGAGTCTGCAGGATTGGCAGTTTTGTTAGAAAAGTACCATGGGTTTCTAGCATCTAAAAGTTCCCAGAGAATTGTAACCAACAGCTGGACTTGGCAGACACATTGATTTTTAAATCTAACTTTTCAGGGGCCTGCAGCTGTCCTACATGTTGACGGACTAAAACATCCCTTTTCCTAACCATGTGGATAGATGTGCAGTTTAGAGTTTGAGCCCAGACGTTGATTTTATTTCATAGATGCTCAGCTCTGAGATCAGTCTGTGGGTGCCAGGGGAAGTTGAGTGAAAACGTAAGACTGTTGAAATTCTGTTTCTTGAGCATTTCATGGGTAGAGGGGGGGCCTGGGAAAGGGGAACGGAGCTGCTGTTAGGGTTACACAAGGGGAAGCAGAGAGCAGGTAGTAAACAGAAGCCCAGCTTCCCTCACACCTCCAGTGAAGACTGACTGTGTGAGTGGAGAACTCGTGTACTAAACATAGGGTGCTGTTAGTGGTACTGATGAGCTGGCTCCATCAGAAGGAAGCCCGGCCCGGTCCTGCACCGCCCTCACAGTTTATGTGTTTGGGCCCATTGTTGTTATGTGTCAGCCCGTCTCCATGGGGGTCTTCCTCTTTTTTGCTGACCCTCCACTTTTCCAAGCATGGTGTCCTGCAGGGACTGGTCCGTGTTGACAACATATCTGAAGTATGAGAAGCGGATTGTTACCCTTCTAGCTTCTAAGGAGTATTCTGGCTGTCCGTGGCCCTTTCATTGTTCTCCCACACCACAATTCAGATGCTGAAATCAGTCCTTCTGTGGGCTTCCTGGTGCACTGT